CGGACTTTTTGCTCACCGTGGCCTCATTTGTGCTGCAATGCAAAGTCCTGAACTCTATGGAAACAGCATAACTATAGTCAGAGCTCAGAAATGTTTGAAAAGTTTTCTAACGGTATAATGCAGTAAATCACTTAAGAAAAAAAAAAAGGTGTCTAGTCTGGGAAAACAAACACGAGAAAGTCTCTACATGCTGTATTCTTTAACTACCTTCATTTTTATTTTGTGTTCATACTATAACACAGCCTGTGGTTGCCAGAAGGTTTCTGAACTTTTGTCATGTGACAGTTTGGTGGCGCTGAGTCACTCGGTTCTGATGAGCACCACAGGTTGTCATGTGTTTTAATTTACCCTGAATTTTTTTACTAAGACATGAAGTAAAACATGATTTTGATGAAATATCAGAATTTTAAACTGATTTCTAAAAGCAATGCTGTACGGTGGAGCAGTGGTTAGCACCGTCGCCTCACAGCAGGAAGGTTGCCAGTTCGCGTCCCGGTGGAGGCACCGGGATCTTCCTGCGTGGAGTCTCCATGTTCTCCCCGTGCAGCGTGGGTTCTCTCTGGGTTCTCGGCTTCCTCCCAGAAACATGCTGAGGTTAATTGGTGATTCTAAATTGTCCGTAGGTGTGAATGTGAGTGTGCTTGGTTGTCTGTCTCTAAGTGTAGCCCTGTGATAGACTGGTTACCTGTCCAGGTGAACCTGCCTTCACCCTGAGTCACCTGGGATAGACTCCGCCCCCCGTGACCCTAGTGAGGATTTAGGTGTAGAGCTAATGGGTGGATGGATGGATTTCTAAAAGCAGCATGCTGTCAGGTTTTGGGATTTAGAGGGTTAAAGACCTCCATCATGGCCTTTTATCATCATGTACATTTACTCAGTCTTACTTCTCTGTGTTTTTTTGGCTCAGTTTCATCAACATATTCAGTTATAGTAAATATATTTCACCTTCTCAAGACAAAAAGACTCAGTTCTACAGCACACACACTCTGCACTGTGTTTATAATACGCTGCTTTTGCAGTTAATCAAAAAGAAATAGCTTCATTTTGTTTAAACGGAAACTCGCCAATATGTGTGCAGACAGACACGAAGGCGAGTCAAGACAATTTTGTTTATATAGCCCAATATCACAAATTGCAAATGTGCCACGAGAGGCTTTACAATCTGCACAGCTTACAGCACCATCTGTGTTGCAGTATTTAGAGGCGTTCGCCATGGCGACGGGATGAAAACAACATCGTAGCTCAAAGACCAGGTTGACACGAGCAGGATTTCGGGTCACGTGCTGCACAGGTATAGGTGTTGTGTTGAGAAACATTTAGGATGTCATTAGAAAAATAAAACACAGGAGGTAAAGATACGGACGGAAGCAGCTTCTCCATTTCGCAATAACATGAAACTTAATGAAAAGATGAAGAAGCTGCATCTCTGCCGCATGCAATTTAATTTTTCCGGCGGCGGAATGGACTGTATGTAGCAACGGAGCACGGATGAGTTGTTTGCATGTTATATATAGTGTCTGCATGGATCAGAGGGAGTCATGTAACTCACTGGTTCATGGCTGGCTATGTTTGAAAGATCACACTTCCTTTTGCTTCGCGCTGACAGGTTATCGCTCTGTTGTTTGTGTGATCTTCCGTTCAAATACGCCGAAGCTCGACACCACACAGCTAATGTTCTCATTACAGCTCAGACGTGCTGAGAAGAAACGCTACGCCGTGTGCATGCCTAATGTGTGCGCGTACGTTTCTGCGTAAGTGAGGGAAGTCATGCGTGCACATGCTGCTTGGCGCAGGACGCTAAATCTTGTGCCACGCGGATCCCTGAACACTTGTCTCGGCCCTATAGCGCGCCTCTTGTTATGTGTAAGCCTCTCTGCCAGAGGATGGAAATACACGTTGAGTTGAGAACATCATTAGTTGAGAGTCAGCAGTTCTGCAGGATGGAGGAAGAGGGGGGAAGTGGTCTCGCTCCTGGAGGAAAAAAAAAAAAAGTTTCCCGTGGTATATTCTCGCAGAGCACGGGGAGAAGGAGGATGAGATGATATATGAAACCATTAGGCTCCTTACACCCAAAACACTTAGTTCAGCTGCATGTGTGCCATTAAAATATCTGCTCCAGGCGCTGTGGTGATGGAGCGATAGGAGGACAAAGGAGGAGGAAGTCAGAGGAGTGCGATAGAGGCAGAGTATTGGGATGACCTGTGTGATAGAGAGATTGCGTGATGCCATGCATCGCTGATAGCAAGAAGAAGGACTGGTAATGTGATGCCAGAGATAGAGGAGAAACTCTCTAGCGAGCGCATAAATGACTCTCCACGGCCCTGCATCGGTGCTAATAAAGGAAGTGAAGTGATCTCCTCAGCTGCAGATTAAGGTTGAAATGAAATCATTACATATGGTATCTTTATTGGATGAAAAGCGCTGACTTCATGGGTGCAGACCCATCTGCAGATAAGATTTACAAAACCTACGTGCTTGGATTATGATAACAGAACGTAATCCTCAGTGATCAGCGCGTCTCCGGATACACGAACTCTGAGGTGCAGCCGGGATGCGAGCTGCAGACATGTTGGTTTTGTTAGCCATCTGCAGACGGTGTAATAACCCACCGACGGGCCGCGCGCACAGGCAGCTCCTAAAAATCACACGCACACACTTTACAAGGCGTTAATTTGTACAACCGCAGTAAACAAAAGAGAACATTGCCGAGAAAACTTTTAATTTAAGGAAGATAAATCCACCAGTTGTCTCGACTATGGTTTCATTCTTTATGCTAATCTCTCTAAGCCATCCCAGTTAATTTGACAACGTTCAGTAAGGCTACATGTAGTATGTAAATGACATACTTTGCTGTTCTTGTGCTTCTCCAGATTGATTTGGACTTCTATCCATATTTGTGAACACAGGCATCTGGTTTCTAGATTGATCCACCACTTTGTCCCAGATTGAAACGTCTCAGCGGCTGTTTGATGGATAGTTTGTGCCTAAAGGATGAACACTGATGACTTTCGTGAGCCTTTCCCTCAGTCATCATGTTGAAATGTCCATTTGTCCACCGCTTCTGATGAAATTCCTGCAAGCTAACGATATCACCGTCAGTGCTAATTAGGGTTGGACAAAATGTTCAAAATTCCCCGTGTCACTGTCAGTCCAACAACTGGCGTTTTGCCGATATGTCCTCGGGGGTATCACACAATTTAAAAAAAAAAAAGAATCAGATGGTGTCAAATCAATCTCTCTCTCTCTCTGTGTCTCACTAACACACTGACAGTGGACCAGCAGCCCTCTTTGTGCACACTCCGGATCAGAACACGCGTCGGAGAAACAATAGCTGTTGGGTTTTCCCCGCAGACCAGAATCAATCCGGAGCTCACTATCAGGGACTGGTATGGATATCTCTGCACAAGCTTGTCCAAAGCTGATGCATTCAAGTTAAATGTCCTCAACACAACACAGAGGCTCCAGCTCTTCCATTTAATCATTATGAGCATGGAAGAAGCTGCACTACTTCTACAGACTAAACAAGCATTTACTGTCTGGAACAGCTCTGTAGTGATCAGGAGAGGGAGGCAGGGAGACGCCATGTTTAAGCTGAAATGAGCTTTAATTTTCTTTATAAATGTTTGAATGACTGTTTAACCAAAAGTTGGGCTTATCTGCGCTCTTTATTGTAATTTATGTCGGCATCCTGCTCGCAGCAGCTTTTCCCAAACACACAACTGTCAAACTTTACTCGTGCACGCTTTGAATTGCACTTTACAGGTTAATTATTTACCGAGTTGAGCTCCCGAGGAGACGGACCAATTAAAAAAAAACAAAAATCGCAAAATAAAATTACATGTTGCCCCAAAAAGAAAACAACAACCAGTCATATACACAGCTAATCGCTGGAATATTTATCCAATTACCCAACCCGAGGGCTTTGTAACTCGTGCTAACATGCAAAAGAAAGGACTTGAACATGTTGAATAGCAGACCTGCAAAACACCAGCATAATAGGTCTAACCCTAATTACAGCCTCACAGAGCCTCCAGCGCCGGCTGGGCTTGTTAATCAGCTGGTTTTACACATTTTCTGCAACACTATGAACAGTCTCAAGACATTATATGAATAACCATCACCTTAATTCATGTGATGTGCACAAAATAAAACCATTGATTTGACCTGGAAGCAGCTACAGAGTGATGTCAGCTCACTAAAGTTGTTTTGAATTAATCGTATTGGTTGTGCATTAAAAGAATCAGTGACCTTTGCTTGTTGTGATCTATATCTGGCTATCAGGACACGAACAGCTGCTGGAGAATATCTGTATCTGTGCCGTATTTACCCTACAAGCTTCAGCAAAGCTTAGAAAGAGGCTGGCTGACGAAACAACGGGGCGTCTCCGCTCTGGATTAATGGCTGCTTGTTTGTCGAACGGGTATTGTGCATATTTTAACTGTGCTCTGCTAAGCCGGCGTGGTCCCCCAGGTGAACCGGGGGGAACGACTGGAAATACTGCAGAGTAGAGAAAATTGAACGCATTAATATGTGATGTAGGCCAACGGAGGATCCCTCAGCAGAGGAGGAGAGACGGGGGTCACGGAGGCAGAGAAAGGGAAGAGTCTGTTCTGTGCATATTCCTAAGTGCCTACAAAGGGGTCACTAATAGGACACAGTTTGGTGAAGGGAAAAGTTCTCTCCAGATGATTGCGAGCATAATAGTTTCTCGTGTGTCTACAGCTGGGGTGGAGCGTTATTTAAGAGCGTCTTTAACACCTGTGTTTATCTGTCTACTGTACTTCATCGTCATTTATAGGAGAGCGGTGCGATCTTTAGCTGTCTGCTTCAGGGCATCTGTGTCTTTTTATTAGAAGACTGATGTCTGTGCAGGAGGATACACATCATGTGGACCAGCCCGCCACTTTATTATGATCACTGTAAATGAAAGTTACCCCCCAGAACACCATCCCCACTGTGGAAAATAAACTCCTCATTCTTTTCTGTTTTCATGCCCACAGCTGGAAGTATCAACCACAGACTTTGCTGGAAACCTCATCGAGGGACCGACCTCGCTCGTGATCACAGTCATTGACCAAAATGACAACCGGCCCATCTTCAAAGAAACGCGTTACACAGGAGAGGTGCTCGAGGGATCCCCGACAGGTAGGCCACATTGTTAGATTGAAGCACTCTGCAGGAAAACTGGGCTCTTATTGGATTTGGCTGGACAGCAATATCACAGACACACACTGGGATTGCTCTACTCCAGATGTCCTCTGATCTGAGGCGAAGCGAGCTTTTGTCGGTGACATTTACATTTGTAGACAGAGCTGTGCTGCGTCGTGTTAAAGTCAATATCTCAGTAATAAAAAGAGAGTCCCTTAAAGATCAACATGTTTCATGAAAGCATTCATGCGGTTACACATTGTCAC